CTTACATTTTATGCTAGATTTAAAAACCAATATGAAAGCGATAAACAAAATTAAGTGTGGTTATTTTTGACATCGGAAGAGGTAAAAATATACAAATCAGATATGTTAAATGCCTATATCTCTTTGCATTAAATCATATAACATTCTTCTACAAGATTGTTTTTTCATTACGTGGTCGAATATGTCCGTTATTGATGCTTACGATACTAGATATACAGATCAAAATGATATGTAACGGGTTTCTTCCTCCATTTACAATTTGGTGTGAAAACCGAAATACCCATCTCAAGTCATGTCAAATTGTCGCCATGAAAGAGCAAGAAATGGAGAGATATATTATAACTTATCCTGATATGTAGTTCCCCAGATCAATATTGACTGTGCAACCGTACGCCGAAAATAGCAAAACTCAAGTAGTGCGATAATTGTTCGTTAAATGAGTTTCAATACATTACTTTGAATGTCTATGTTGTTTAGTTGTTAAATTTGATACAAAATGTGATCATGTTTGAATTTTATTCTGAAATGGTGAAATCTTTCAACAGTAAACCTTTCATTCAATACAATTCATTCTACGTTATTTTTTTCAGGATATTTCATCGGAAAGATCGAATTACCACACGGGTTGCAGGTATGGTCTATCTTGCAGATGGATGCTCGGAAAAGATAGATAACTACATACAAAACCTAGAAGCACACGACAATATACACAAATATTCGACAGGAATAAATAATAGCACATGTCGATGTTGCTTAATGTTGTATTCGGATTAAAAACATATTTTTGATTTTAAAAAGCAATATCCAAGGACACATCATCATTATTTATTTATCAATAGCGTACCTCGTATTAAACAATTTCATTTTCGCCAGAACAACCTATATCGCACTGAAACTTGTACACAAAACTAAAAATTGTAAATAAAACGGTCTCAAAATGAACATATCCCAAATGTTCCAGAATATTAAGATTCCGGATCAAGTTTTCTCTATATCATCACATCTTACTTTTGCTAAGACAGTTATAAAAATAAATGCAGACCGCTCTTGAATATTAAGATTCTGTATATAGTGAATATTTGACTTGCCTTGTCATTGAAGTAAATCAGTCTGGAATGAATCTAAACCAACATGTGTTAGATATAAACCTTTGATTCAAAGTACAATTATTTTCTAAAGAGATTCATATTGATCACATATCAAAACAATATTGATGTTGTAGGGAATAATAAAGAATTCAAAATCGTAGATATTCGTTTTCCTAATTTGCAGAATGTTTTACCACGTTGATTTGTTTCAACAAAATGTATCTTTACCTTCTAACAGAAAGAGACAAAATGATAAAGTATAACCTTAATAGGAACAAACAAATGAATACATCAATACATATTTTAATCAACAGGAATCTCAAAGACAGAGAAACCATTGAAACCAAAACAGTATTTCTACACCACGAAAAAATATTTTGCAACCACAAAAAAATATTTAAAAAGATAAAGACTTCAGAAGGCTCTGCTTGTCTTTAAATTTATGGATTAATAAGTTAAAATGATTCAATTTAATTTCTAGGAATGCATAAATATCACAATCCCTGATAAATTATTAAATTTTAATTTGAGCACTTGGGAGCAGTAATTAGGCTACTATATAGAAAGACGTATATAGATAATCAAAAGCATGGACAATCAACAAAAAAGCAAGCAAGTGCAAAATTTTTGCGGTAATACTATTTTTTCGTTGACGCGGTCAATAAAATCCCTCGATATACATGTGTTACCCAAGAATTATATTATTATATTTAAATATCTTGGAGAAATAGAAAATTGACATCAAAATATGAAGGAAAACAATAAAATTTTGATACATTGAAACACATGTCTGCACTTTCATGAACCACTAATGGCTGATATTTTCGACAAGATATAGGAGAGAACATCTCAATAGAAAAACGCAGGACTATATAATACGTTTGCAATGGATGACCTGATATACTTGTATGTGAATCTATTAGATGACTTAGAAATACATGTCAAAATCATATTACGACATTAGGAGATCGCAATTGTTACATAGAAAAGTACATTTTCCTTGTGAAAATTGATGACCAGACTTGTAAATGTTTAGAATATGATTCAACACTGATTTGTAAATACTACACTGTGGTTTAACAGATATGACTGTGCATATTTGATAAAATGTAACAATATAATTTTGTAATAGAAGACCAATATGTGATCATAGAGGGTGACATGGCACTTATTTGATATAATGCTACTCAGGTAACAGAAAATTAGATATGTAAATGCAGAGGCGGACATAGCACTGTTTTAATATAATGATGCACGAGTTACAGGAGACTAATTATGTAACGTAAATGGTGACAGCACTGGTTTGGTATAATGCCACTATAGTACCAGTGGCTCACACATGTAATCGTAAAGACTGGCCTAGCAATGTTTTTACTTTATCACACTTTGCCCGTAAATTGATAAAAACACATCAATCTAAATTTATTGGAAAATTTATAACAATTTTCATTATGACAAAATATATACTGTTTAGAAAGACATATCACTTCTTTGATACCATAACTGCCCTGTGATAGAGGATAGGATACGTCACATGTACAGTACAGTTGAGGTTGATTTGGCTATCAAACCCTGCGATCCTGAGACAGCTACTGATTAACGTACAACTGCATTTTCAACATTACACTTAATTATGATGAAAGGTTTCCATAATTCTGAAACATTTTTTGGTACATTTTGGTATTAAAACTAATAAGGATTTTGAACATGATTCAATCATAGCATATAGCAGGTTATTTTTGCGTTTCTATATATCCAATATTTACTTTTAAAACCTTCAAGATATATTTCAAAGAATTCAGATATTCGTGATCTGCAGTAAAATGAGCATTACATAAAAACGTGTCTCATTTTTCACGAATTGAATTTTCGCGATCACATCAATGTACCGTCTCCTCGAAAATAACTGACTTTATGGGGCTATATGGCTTTCTTGTACACGAGATTCTGCATATCTATATTAAAAGCACATAAACAAATGAGTATATCGACTAAAATGCACCAAGAAGATAATTTTACAACAACTGTAACAAGCTAACTACAGGTCGCAAAATGAGCACATAAGATGATAAGAAAAACATTCATAAAGTAAAATTGTATTAATCATAAATTCTAATATTATTATTCAACATCAAACATGGTGTTGTAAACCTGATGACATCTAAATCCTGTGTGGTCATTAATAGGACTAGTTATGATATGCATTATGGTATGTCTATTACTATGTTTATTTCAAAATTATGACTAGACCTCAAATAATATCATCACACGATAACAAAACAACCTATAAAACCGCATATGTTATTGGATGTGAGAAAAAAATATAAACATATCCCCTTTGATTCTCAGATAATGTTACACATTTAGGCTAAGAACCATACGCCCTCATTAAGATTTCAATTGGTATATACCCGTTTGATTCTGTCATTCTGCTATGATACAAGGTATCGTACGGAGCTCGTTTACTAACATGCTTTATACGTATTTTATTTCGTTTTTTCGAAATATCTGTTCGTGTTAACGAAATATAATTTCGTTATTTTGAAATATTTAGTTTTAACGAAATATAAAACGAATTTAGAATTCGAAAAATCGAATTGTCATTTCGGAAAAACAAATTATCATTTCGAAAACAAAACCGAAATAAAATACGTATGAAGCATGTGAATAAATGGGCTCCGTGATATTGTCTGCAACTTTTCTGCGAATTATACCTACTGATATTCAATTGTATTAAAATCTTACTTAAAACTTAGCCTTTCACACTTCCCCGCAAAGATATTATTAGCTGCCTTCTACAAATAGGTCAGGGAGATGTTTGCTTTAGCCTCAAAAGCACCTCAAAAATACAATCCTATGTATATATATATAAAACATCCCTTTGTATTTCATGTTTCCTGAACCGAGATAATACTACTGTATACTAAACGTTTATTCTTGTCTTACTTAGCATTAAATATTCTCAACACAGATTCAGTACCTGAGTACTTGCTTAAATTGCGATCGTTCACAATTATATCAGTTTGACTTAATGTTTGGTTATCTATTATCATAATCTTGTCATAACTGCTTATTTTGTCTACGAAAGACTCGCCAATTTGCTTCATTGTTATTTAAATCTAAATTCATTACAGATGTGACATAGATACAAAGAACGAAAATATAGATGAGAGTTTGGAAACATAGAAATTAAACAATGAATCATTAGCTTACATAATTTGAATGTGTAAAACAGTCCACCCTAATGAAGAATAAAAAAAAAAACCATAATGGTATGATGCTCCTAGACTGAATTCACTTCATCAGAATATATTATCTTCACATGAATATTGGAAATCAAGAACACGACAGACTCCACTTTGCCACAAAGAAATCAACATGGTTCGATATTCAAGGGTCTGTTCCCAGTATCTGATTTTCGAGAAAGCTATCAACTGTCACATATAGGGTTTCAGGAGATGCGGGTTGATGAACATATAGGGCAGTATTACGGTTTTCTTAGTGATTTCATCGAGAAATGTTTTACTTATTTGTGCGATATAAAACTGGTCGTGTCTGGTGTTCGTTAGTTTGCATGTCGGTTCAGTTGTTGTAATTATTGCTCTTAAATGAAAATGGGACACCACTTGGATTGACCACGATATTTTCTTCTTGTTTTATGATAAAGGTGGATAGACTGTGTTTAAGATTAAAAGAACTATTCTTGAATACCGAACCTTGGTGTTGAGTTACAAACAGAAATGGCATCACAGTATTTCATTACACAACATTTTGAAAAGAATATTGAAAAATAACTAAGGAAACTATCAGGAAATACGAATGTTTTTCGTTTTCATTATAAATCAACAAAACTGATTTAAATAACACATAACATGTTACATATTAAAATCCATATGTACATATTTTGGTACCTGGAATGAATAAAGATTTTAAACATGTGACATGGCTTACACAGTCTTATGAAAGAATATGCCATCACTTCAAAGCATCAATACCTCATTGACCTGTAGGCATTGATACCGAAAATGAGGACGTAATTGATTTGATGGTGATGTACAGGTAACTAAATGCATACAACGAATAAATGGTGATATCCAGTGGCACTAAGTTTGATTGGGGGGTGGGGGGGTTAGATCCATGAAAAGGACGTTTTCAAATCTTGAACTGACGCAACAAGATTGTGAAAAATAAATAGTTGATAGAAATCATCAAAAAAATTTTTCAATTATTCATTTTTCGTAGAGAAAACAATCGTGTTGCATGAGTATATTGAGCTGACATTAGAAGTCTGATCTTGCAAAGAATGCTTAAAAAATATAGATCTGAATTATTGATCCGGAACAGTAAGTTGGTTCAGTGGTTGGTGTTCCCCTTCGTCAACCTCTTCTTTATTTAAGTGGCTCCTGTGTACAGATGAATGTGACGCCCGTAGAACATCGTCTATAAGGAGGGAATGTTTGGAAAGTTTCATGGCTCGTCGTGCACTACTTGGTGAGGATCCTTCCGCTAGGTGGCTCATTGAACCTGTCAGGAACATGGCGGATCCACCAAGAATGTTACTTTCTTTAATATCAAGGTGTTCCACTTCCGGTTCAAGTTCATCCCGCCATATTGATGATATCAATATAAAGAAAGCACCGACTAAAAACAAAGCACCTGGAAACAAACAAGACCCATATTGACAATTTAGAAACAGTCTGCTGTACTTTTATCAAATTAAAATCTTAAGCTCTATTGAACGATTTGAAAAATAAATAAATAAATAAATAAATAAATAAATAAATATATATATATATTTCAACAACTAACTGACAAACAGGCCATATAACTTTTGTATAACTCGGCCAATAACCAAACCGTTATTTTTTTTCTCCAAATGTATCAACATATTTTCTATGATCACAAAAACAGGTCCAAACAGAAATAGGAGGATGGCCAACACTACGGTTATATTCCATTTAAAATACCTCTATTTTATAAACAAATCTTTATTCAACAACTCATGTTTAAAGACTTATAAAGTGAATTTATGTCTGAGAGTGTTAAATTACTCTGAAACGTGCAGTACATACAAAGGAAGGGAAATAACTCTTACATACCAGAGAGATAAAACGTATACTCATACGTCCCCCATGCATCATATATGGCTCCTGGAATAAAAAAAAACGAAAAATAAAACTGATAAACAAGTTTTAGAATAATAATAAGGAATTAAAGCAATGACACAACAATGTGTTAAAATATGTTTATCGTTAAAACTTAGTAAACATCTTTGGATTGATAAAACGATTTTTCCAAAACGAGTGATTTAACCCTCAAAATAAATTATCTGAGGAAAGAATTTCTATATCAGATATTGATTTCATTGAAAATGAAATATAACGCCAACAAGACTGCTGGTTTTTTAATGGGGCTCTTCTTCTACTAATTATCATTTTTACGAGGAAATGAAAAGAAAAAAAAAAGAAAGAAAAAAGAATGAACTTGTTTTTCCAATTAGCCGTTCGACAGTCTGTTCTTCAAATGTTTTTTACACATAGGTTTTCGCACCTCCAAGTAATTGATCACGTTCCAATATAAAGAAAACTTTCAAATAAATTCCAAACTATTCATTCTGATGTCTTCACTGGGGTCCAGAATATATATTTTATGTTTAAATAATTGTTCAATTTTCACAAATTATTTATTGAATCATGTACAGAGAGGAAAAACCCGACCTTGTATCCAGGATTCAGAAATTATATCTTATGAAATCCCAAATATTATACAAAAAAATTACAAATACTGCGATTTGCTGTCACTGAAGATTGCTGTTGACTGATGTTAAGTCCAGATAAACATATAATACATTATTGGGATATGTTTGATAGTCTCTAAACTTCAATTATATTTTTGTAATAATAGATATTCCGATTATTAGAAAGAAACCCTTGATATATAGTGACGTAATTGAAAACAAATTATATCATAATAAGCATAGCTGGGTTTTAAATAATCAATATATATTAACAAAAATAACTACACCGTACAATTAGAGAGGATGTGATATAGTAAAATATCATTTGTTTTTATTCTATGACAAATTTTCAATATTTAACGGAGACAAAGTAATATAAACATGCAAGAATATTCTCACAGCCTGATAAGACATATGTTAAAGTATACGAAGGCTATGAAATCATACGATCCCACGTTAAGCTACTATACGTACCAGCCAGTGGGGGACCTAGAATCCCTCCTATTCCTGACGATAAGTACATCCCGCCGACTCCAGCAGCCACCTGTGATACACCTGCCAGATGGACCACAAGCGGCGTAATTAGCGTGATCATACCTCCGCTATAAAAACCAAATATAACAGCGAAAACACACTGCCCTTTATAAGTCTCTGAAAACAATGGAAATATTATGGTGATAAGTCCCGATAAACCTAGGAATCCGAACTGCAACAATAACGGATCCAGACCGTTTTTTTTCCCGAGAGATAGTCCGGTAAGGATTCTGTTAAATATACTGCCCACTCCAATCATTGTGATTAGCCACGCCCCCTCTGCAGGAGTTGATCCCTCTGTGACTGCGAAGTTAGTCAGATGTATTAAAAGTATAGCATAGGAAACATTCCACAGTACATTAGAGAAAAGTACTATCATAAACGTCTTGTTTCTGATAATACTGAAATCAAATGAACTAAAAAATCCACCAGTGTTAGCCTCTTTTCGTTTCGCCTTTTCTAACAGTTCTCTACCACAGGGCCGCATAACCATCGCAAAAACAAAACCTTGACTACTGAGTCCTCCTAAGAATAGGAAGGCGCCGTTGAGTCCGTATGTGTCGAGCAGGAATTGAGTCAATGGTCCGCTGAGGAACATCCCCATCCCACTTCCTGCCACTGCTACTCCGACCGCGATACCCTGGTAACGGTCAAACGAGTAACCCAACTTAATCAAAATGGACGCTGCTACTAAACCGGTTCCACAGCCTGCAATTAAAAATGTCATTGATATCAAGAATGTCAGAACTATGAGACGTACACACAAATCCTGTCGGTAAATAACTGCATATAAATGTAGATGAATTGGATACGTATGTTTGTTGCAGAAATAACTTGCCTTGGCGTTTAGAATCTATATCTTTTACCATAGCATCAAGCGTTTTGCGATGTTGACAAGCTCAAGAACTGTCACGTGGTTCTTTGTTAAAATGTATACAGTCATGTCACGGATCTTTTATAGAATTGTCGACTGGTTGAGCAGACAATGTTTAATAGCGTATAATTCGACAAATAAACCTTGTATAAATGTCCCTGTGTGGTCAGATGATCCAATTCAGTCATGGTCTACTCATATCATTCGCTGTATAGTCGCTATGGTTATTAAAAATATTTTTTTTTAAATCGGATTATTAAATAGATTCACGTTCAATATCTTTTTCGAAATTAAGCACGATTGGACTAAATAAGCTATCGCACATTTATGCGCACGTTGTAGAGATCTATCGCACGAATGTGCGGTTCTATCGTGGATTAAGAAAAAAATTAGAAATGACTTATAAATAAGTGTGGGATAGGATTATTTATCTTCTAGATATATAAGAATACAAGTAGTATTTTGCTTATTAAGCCAGTAATATCAGATACACACTGAATAATAGATGCATTCGTAAGTTTAAGTGTTTTGTTTACAAAGAGCAGACTTAGTGTACGGGTACACATTATATACACAATAAGTATGCAAATATTACATGAATGTCTCTTTATGTCACAATAATGAATCATTTAAAACCTCGTACCGTAAGGAAGGAAATTCTAAATACTAAATACAGAACCGTATAGAAAAGAGATATGCGGAAGCGATTACCAAACAAGTAGCACATAAGATCTTTTTCCTGTTGCCCCCATTGCATGATCGTATGAGGCAACTTAAATTGTGATCTGATTATTTCCAGTTTTTTCTAAAAAGGATATTTCTTTTTTCACTGTTTCTCCTTTAACACTTGCCACTTGTGGTCATTAGTTGGGCGCACGCCCCTGTGAGAGAGGTTTTAAGTTCTGTCCACTGGCCGAAACATACACGAGTCTTTGAGTCTTTGAAAATGATTGTTCTTCCTGTATGCCTAACGTTCATTATAATGGTAGAGTAACGACATTGGTCTACCCGTTGTCAGTGTAATGTAACCGAGGCGGTGTCCTGCTGGAGGCTGGAGGCAGTATACTTTATTTTGGTAGCATTATAAAGTCGGCTTCAGTCCCGCACTATCACCATGAGGCTTGCGCAAACATAACAGTCTTCTAAAAATACATGCATTTAACATATGTTTTCACATATACCGAGAGTCCGTCCTTAAATTACCCAATCTGCTGATAGAACATTACGCAATTTAGAGCAAAACGAACCAGTAAACATCGAATTACCATACATTATCCGAAATCAAGTGAGAACCACAAGACCAATGCATATTACGAAAGATAAGCATTCGGCTTCAATATCACGTTTTCTATGAACTAAATGTGTCGACTAAGAATTGATGACGTTCCATTTCAACTTAAGATTACAATAATCCATACCTGCACAGATACCGTAGGTGACCAACAGGACGTCGAGGCTATTGACAAAGTAACTCGCTGAGAATCCGATGAAGATCAACACTGAACCTATTAGATGCGTAATTCGGCAGTTGGTTGTGTTTACTAGGAAACTTGATATCGGTCCTGAAGTGATAACAAGAATAAGAATGGCTACATTTGTTACATATAATAATCTCATCGGAATATTCAGTTGGAACCAAATGACCAAAAATACCATATTTCAACTCGGTAAAAAACCAGAAATGCCAAAATCCTGCTAGTTTTCACTGATATTCTTTTCTGGTAATAATGAACTACATGCTGAAGATATGAAAATCGTACATTTTAAGCCAAGACATTATTTTGTTCAGTGTATATAATAAATAACCTTCAACGTTAATTATTTTGTCAATACGAAAGGAAGTTTTTTTTTCGTTTTTTATTCTTACATTTAAAAATACCTTTTTGTGCTTTCAAAGTTTGGAACATTTGTAATTTTCTCTACACAGAATATTTAATGGAATGACAGTAATTTGAAAAATAATTCTGATATTTTCTTTTAATGTAAGAATTCGCATTTGTCCTTACCAGTGAGACTTAAAAGACTTGCGAACACAGACCCAACCAGGGCAGTGAAGGCCACGTTCTCCTTGAATCTCGTGAGAAGGGCGACATTGAGAACGCCAGCTGCGTATGTAAAGTAGGCGTTCATGATATTTGACAGGAAGCAAGCGGCTAGTACTACCCAGGCCCAGCCCTGATCCACGCCCTCTAGTGGCGGCGCCATCTTTTTTTCCATAGCAGCCATCAGTTATTCCTTGCTGTCAAGCTGTTACCGCTATTTCACTGAGACTTCCATCGAAATCTGAATGAAATAATGTGAGCAATCTTTACTTCAGTGAATCTGTTAATAAAGAACAAGTGTTTTTTCACTCTCTATATCTCGCTATGTATATACCTTCTTCTACTCAACGGCAGTTTTTATCGTGCATTTGAATCTGCATTTGACGAGGCAACTCATTATCAGACATGTGAGCAGTCAGCTCGAAATACCCAAAAAAGTAAATGTAAGTACTTACTCATATCTCATGGTTGTACAACTTACACACAAATAGATAATACAATGTAAAACAAATTCAGAGCTCAATGCACTGTAATCAAACATCGATTCAAACTCAATCATACACTGTTTCGTCCCTTGATGACTCGTTAATGATGATACACTCCTAAAGTTTGAAGTCTAGGGGGCGACTGAGGAGAACCCAAAATTATCAGAAATGTCATAATCAAGATTGTAATGACAGTTAAAGACGGTGTAGCAATCACGTGAATATCTACTTATTTTTTGCATTGCTCACAGTTGACTATGCATTTTAGTGTAATTAGATATCTAAAGTTTTAACATCAAAGACAATTCACAGATATATACATTGTATGATTACAACACGTGTGTTGTTAAAAGGAACCTGGTCTATGCTATGATAACTCAGAAATAGAATGAATATGTTCCATTCAGCTATGTTACATAATAGAAGCGGTAAAGGTCCTAAATAGTATGCTGTAAAACAACGTAGGAAGGTAAAGTATGGTTAGTGAGTACACACGCTTAAATATAACATAGATATGAAATACTCCATAGCTTACTGACTCCAAGAACTTTTTTTTCAACCTCCAACATGCGACACTAAACGAACGCCTTCATTCTGGAGTTATGATTGGGTTTCTTTTCTTTAAGAAAGGTGAACGGCTGAACTACCTTATATATGTCAACTATACTGGAGCGTATTTCGTGACACATATGGCCATATCAGATAACAATTAATCTTTGTATGAATTCTTACAAATGATCGAGTATTTGGATATCAGCATCGTCGAGTTTGGTGGCATGATCTTCCAACAGGTTATTGAAATACCTTCGGGAAGTAACTGTGCCCCTCTTTTGGCTGACATGTTTTGTTTTCATACTTCTGTTTTGAATTGTCCTTTTCTGAATAGCAATATCCCCGGATCTTCAAGCTATGATTTTTACATGTCGCAATTGATGTAATTCAAGGACCTGTTCCCATTATCACAATTTTAGTGCAAGAAGTCGCCATTTTATGGACAAACATTTCAAAAGATGCAGGTTGAGGGATATTATTGGGAGGTTTTACGGTGTTCTTAATGAGAAATATTTTATTTCTTTGTGTAATATGAAGGTAGACAACGCCTTTGGTGCTCGCCAGCTTGCCTGATAGTTCCTTTGTAATATACATTGTTCTCATTTGAGAACTTGTTCGGATTGACAAATATTTACATTTCGGGTGTCAAGCAAAAACGCCTACTTTTCCGGAATACCTGATCCTATTCTCCTTGAACTTACTTCAGGAGTCAGGAGTGTAAATCGTGTTAATCTTCCTTTTACGCACATTTTTGCCCTGGTTTGATTGTATTTGAGATCAGCTATGATTACGCTGATATGTTTGTGTTTTCTTGTTTTTGGTTCCATTCAATCAAACTTCGTCACTTCTTTGAAATGTTTCAGTGGCCAGTCTTACTAACTTTCGGAAGGTTGTACAAAAGACACATAATAGTAATGACATTAAAAAACATTCACGAGTGAATATAATATTAATTTGACTTGAAGTAAGTTCATAAAAAAAATGAATTGAAGTAAGATTCTATGGACTCCCTCAGTCGCTTCCTAGGATTCACAACATAGGCCGTTATCATCACTAACGAGTTTTAGAAAAAACAAACACCTGTATGGTGCAGTTTAATTTATATAGTGGTAATACGTTCTTATAAAATGTGATAAACCTTATTCTATAATTGTTTAAAGTGCTATCACTCATGTGTCTGATATTTAATCTTTAATTTTTTAAGAATTATTAAACCATCATTACTAACTGAACTAATGGTTAAGGAACTCATTGGTAAGATCAAGGCAGGAGGAAGGACATTTCGAATGTACATATACAGCTCAGTTTCTCCCCATAGAATTCTATAGGGATAACAAACCTGTGCAAATTGAATTTGGCAAGAATCGTATAAGCCATCAACGGTATAAAGGATTATTTTGTGAAATATAATAAAGTTTTACAAGAATTGAAAAGTTATAGTCTAATATTATAACATATTTTATACGAGATTTACCAAATTAGTTATTCATGTTTCTTTCTTTAGACACACAAGAAGTCGATATTGACATGCCAAGCAATACCTCATACTTTACCTACAAGCCGTAATGTACGATGTGTTCTGTTGAAATTCATCATTAATTTATAATGTAGAATGTGTTTGATAAGTATTTAATGGGATGGCATAAAATACCGAACAACTGTACATTCTTTTATGCGGCGAAAACGTTGTTTTTTTTTCATTTTTTCGAGCCAAAAATAATTTCCGTTAGCAATATTGGTGCTGCTGGACGCCTCCATACCTCGATTTAGTTTCACAGCTACGGTATTTGATTATGTAACCCTGGCATATGATGACAAAATATAGAACAAAGTGCGATGTCCACGTTTATCTCTAACGGATTATTAATATTTGAAACATCCTTTTTAATGTATCATATAGCTTTGTCGATTGTAGCTATCTGCAATTTAGTTTCAACATTTCAAAGATGTAAATTCGTTGAAATATATTGAAAGAATTATATAAAATAGATATAAATAGTTCCTGAAAAATCACTTATATAATGTGCTTTGTTTTTGATAACGTATTTCGAATAGTATAATTTAGCTGGGTATCTAAATAATCATGTGTGATCTTTAACGGCTAAGACAATAGCGATATTGATAAAGTATCATTAAAATATATAAGTATCAGGACATACCTACGCCAAGCAGAAGTCAATTTCAACCTGTACACGTCTAGTTTATAAACGTTTTATTTTTATAACCTACTTGTCCTAAATGTCATTGAGCGAGTCTGACTGTGCCGTCTAACACTGACACTAGCTAAATAGGTGTTCAGCAAAACAGTTGGTTTTCTCAGAGTAGTAATATTCAACATTTGTCGTTTGTACCTCACAGACAAGCGTGGTATGTTTTTCTCTAGTAAGTGATAACACTGAACACTTTTAGTGTAATTAGAGCATATATGTTGTAAGAGATTTTCATAGTATGATTTCTATCAGAAAGACATGCAATACACTTTTTCATAACATACTGTAATCAACGTAGCTTCTTCCATGCGAAGATTATGTTATAAGCCGGTATAATCAGGTTAAAAATAACACAGGAAGACAAAGAAGATGTAAAGTACAGCCTGTCACCTTTGTAACACCAATGACCCATAGCATGGCCATTAAAATACCTGCCATCTTTTACTGTGTATACCATGTCGTGGTGAAATAAAATATCTAACTGAAGTTATTTTAATGTCAGTAAAAATAAGTTTCTTTAACTAATTTGAGTTTTGAGGAAGAGGGAAATCAGATCAAAGAATTATAATGTCGATTTCTGTAACCGTCATCTTGTTTTATATGTATATGTATATGTAAATATTGTCAGGGATATATGAACTGAAATTACTTTTCGTACAATGTAGCCAGAAAAGTGATTTATGTATGATTAGGAGTCCAAAGTCCAAGGTATATAAAGGATCTGATCAATATAACGTTCAGTAAAGACCCAATGCCGTGCAGTACATGAGAACTTTAATATTAGCTGAATGCTGTAGTGTATGTGTATTAGCTGTCAGTCAGAGGTGATTGTTCGTTATGTATACACTCCACTATAATATAAAAAGAGAAACCTATGGAAAGGAATCTGACATAAAACTAACGACCTAACGGACGACAAATATTGTATATGTGTGGCAGGATACTCACCAAAAACATGTTAAACACGTGGCTTCTGCAATACACAGACAAAAATGGCGTCTTTAAATACACATGCTAGTAATCTTATCATATGCAATATACACATCAATACAAAAAAAAAGAAAAACAGTAAAGAGTATACCTACTATATCCGGTTGCAAGACATACCCCATCTGCACATATACCACAGTAGTTTGTAACACAGCACACATGTGTTACTTCTCAGCCATTGATTGTCGAACTGCCTGCTTCAGTGGATTCGTGTGTACAACTGAATGGGTTGTAATAATGATCAAGCCAGGGGCACCATATGGGGGTTTTAAAGTGTACAGAAATGATCAACTTCATACATCCTATTATAAACTGGTATATAGCACAGCAACAACAGAAATAGAATGGTTAATTGATCAACTGTCAACTAGAAATATTTATTTTCATGATTTTTAAATGTTTTACAATGATGCATTAACAGCTTCCACTGTTATACATTTGTTATTATTTGAGTTAGTACAAACAATATTAGTTTTAATAACATTATATTTCATATGATGATATCATTATGAAACATAAATCAATACCAGCATTTATACATTTCAGTTTCTACTACATATATGAAAAGTGATTTGTTTTAATAATGAATTTGTGATGTATTATTTCAAAATATGTCTAATTAATAATCGTTCTTTATTAACATCAGTTTCTTCTATAAAGATTATATTTGACAAAAGTGAAGAAATGCATAGTTAGATCATTTAAGAAAACTTTATAAGCATAAACTATAGAAAATCATATACTGACTCGATGACATTAATACCTGTTTCTAACTTTAGGATATTGAGTATATAAATAACAAAAATGTTAACGTCAGGGTCATGGTCTGTAGTATTCAAATTAATTCACTGTCCTATATATTGATCCATTCTTTCGTGTGCTAATATTTGTATGGATTGATATTAACATAAAATGTGCTTAAAGGATTTTATTACATAAATGAATTCACCAACTCTCCTGCATGGCATTACAGGTAAAACATCTTTCGAATATGTCAAAAGTTTGACATTATTTGCGGGAAAAGTAAAATGCAATTCGGAAACAAAACAATTCCAGTTAAGTGCAAGTATAACATAGTGACTATTTAAATGACAGGAAATCTAGTGAGATCAAGAGGTAAATCTAACGTAGAATAAACGGTTTCTCAAAACTTTTCCTTTAAAATATCATCAGTCTCCAAAATGTTCCCAAAAACCTACCGATGAGAAATCAGCTCAAAATATGGGCAAACATGACAAAAAATAACTTAATTTGCGTTTGTTCTTTTAATTGAAAACAATCAGCCGCCAGACTAATTTGATATATGTACAACATATGTATGTAAAACGCAATGTACATTTTGAAAGATAACGACGTAGACTAATTGTAATGCTCAAATCGTGTCCATTGTTAGCATTGTCATATGTGACGATAAGGATCCCTCTGCCTCCCTTCCTTCCTGTTTTTAAACACATTTTGTCTTACGTCTTTTTGTCCAGACCTTTTTTCTCCTGTAAATCGCTTGTATTTGCATTGTCTCAAACACACTTGGATACCTGTAAAAATATAGATATTTACAATATGGCAGTACGAACCAGATATAATCTCAAGCAGATTTTCTAAACAAAAAATAGCCATATAGCACTTGAAGGAAATAGATATAAGCATGATTAAGAAGAAAAATGCGGAATATCACTGAACATTCTTAAACCTGCAGCCTAAACAGGCATTATTCGTGCTGTCATGAAATATAAGAGATATAAAGTACCCTGTATAGGTATATATTCACTGACATGGTTCATATCCATATACAGAAAATCTCGGATGAACACCGTCTGATATAAAGTCCTTAAATAAAGTGACATAACTAAATTAAACCCTATGCCCTCATGTTACAAACGTGCTCTGAATACCGATTGTGATATATAATATAATGTATCTAAATGAAACAAGGAGACACAAACATGTAAGGCAACAACAGCTGTGATAATACCACATTTAGATTCAAAACTGATAAAACATTAGCAAAACTAAAAGAGAAGACAGTGACTTTCTGAAGGAAAGTATTAACCCTCCCACAAAAGGTTTATTGTTATCTAAATGAAGCGTAAAATAAAAATGATGCTGAGGCAACTTGTGGCAAATATTAAGCTTGGGTTGCATTAAGAAGGGATACATCAGGTTTTTGTGATAGTGTTTGGATCAATCCCACAGAAGTAGAACGTAACATTAAACAAGATGACGAGGTGAAAGAATTTGAGATATTTTTGAAAAAAAAACAACAAGAGGATACCAATAAATTAACAAACGAGAGATCTGAACTAAAAAATCAATAATACGAGGACAAAAGAGGAACAAAAATGAATTACGTGGATATCATTGAAAACCCACAAGGAATATAAGACCATTTGTTTCGGAAAGGATCTTTGAAAAATAACATGGATCATGAAAGGGACATTAACGTCTGATTATTGTACGTGTCATCTTGAACTCTCGAGTAATATAGGTAGTGTAGGAAATGTCGGGAATCATAGATCATTTATAATATGCCTATGGTGAGAAGAGATCGGAAGATATTGAATCTTAATAATGAAAAGTAAGGTATCTTAGGTATATCAGTAGTACAAATGTCAAGGCAGAAACATTTGGAAGATTTAGTATGATAAGTGGGTAAATCTGTTCTTTTAATTCTAAAACGCACTTTGTTGAAACAATAACGGAACGTCCATATCGATTAAATGTTATGGCACATCATATTCAGATAACTGATGTCGAGCCAGTGGGTTTATGTTTGGGTGGTAAATGAATGTTGAGAAAATATTCCAATATGTCGACGTTTAATCAGTGTTAAATGATATTGATATCAAGGCCTGGCAGTAGTTTCTCTAACTGATCTCAATTCGTGCGTGTTAATGCGATATCATAATCAAATAATTGATGTTTCAACTATTTTTGTTTTAAAAAGTTTCAATTTCCATCATGGTCACACACTGAAATCTAATAATACAACTCTATATGGAAACGTAAATAACTTTGATATTTTGTTGTGAGAGGCATGTTGGACAGGTTTATAAACAAATATGAATATACACAAACATTGTTGTAATCTGACCGTGTTTTCTAAAAATGACTTTTTAATAAGCGTGCATTTAAGGTTTACCTTTCTAATTTGTTCAGTTTTTGGAGATATCCGAGAAGATTAAATAAAATTAGTGTAATTGTCAAAATGACATCGGGTCGTATGTTGTTTCCTTTCTTCTTGAAAGGAAAGACTGAAGTCGTCAGAGCAAGTCAGTACATGGTATAATAATATCTATTGTTTATTCTTACAAGAGGTTGCAAGGATGACACGTTGTTTTAATGTTCATTCATTGCAAAGATATACCTCGCACTTTACAAGGAATCTAACTCACCTTTGTTTTGCATATAAAGTTTTGGTCAGTGTTGCAGAGTGATCCCTTTGCAGCAAACTCATGCTGGCCAGACAAGAATAGGCAATCGTGGTTTGGAGGGTTGGAATCTAATGGTGTCATTTCATCAAAGTCGACCAAGGAGGAATCATATTTCCAGTGCCAGTGACCCGGAAGTCGAACTGAGGTTGCCCCCAGCCAGAAACCCTCGCCATTGTAACCACCTATCAGTAAAATTAATATGTACAGGTCGTCCTGGATTTAACCACCTCAGATATTCACGCGGCACATGTCTTTTTGATGAAATGTGAAACATTTAAATCTTCACAAATTTACGTCTGTAACATGATTATAAGTAAACTAAGATAGAAAATGGCGAAACAAAATGGCGACTATATTATGGCTATTCATTGCAGTCTCCTAAACTGTACACATCAGTGCAGATAAGCACTTAACACTGGTCATTCGTTTAATGCAGGTGAAAGTGTATATATATACCATCGACATAATTGTCTTACTAGCTGTGTTAATAGAACTTCTGTTCTAAAGGAGAATGGTATTGGTTTTTTTTGTTTCGTTTCCTCGATGATTCTCTGACGAGACCGTTACTAAACCGTAGCATTATCTATAACAATACTCAACTACATAAACATATCGTTTTCTCTAACTCTCAGGACTGTTTTTTATACCAATAACGACATAATCTACCTGTCCTCTTTCCAACAAGATCCGCTTTATTAAGCATTACACTTTTGCTGTATTAATGACAATTTATTGAAGAAGATTATATCTACTCAAAATCGCCAAGAAGCTTATGGTATCATACCTTCTGTCTCAGTTACGAAGGCTCTCAGGAACTCATACTCTGCATTCGACTCAATGTATGCCAGATGAGAACCAAATGCTTCACACATATACTGTTACAAAAAAGCCAAAAAATGTGTACATGTTACACAACAGTTTTAGGACGGTGGTCACATGAATATATCGATCGTGGTGGTTTTGACACAAATTTTGTATTATCATAATTATTGTCATTCAAAATATTTGATTAATTTATTCATATAGTAAGTCACGATTATCACGATTCTGTAAGATACTAATATGATTACCCGTCGTAGTATGAGTTTATACCATGAGATTTATTTCAAGATGGTAAGATGTTTGAAAGAAAAACGAGACTCTGTATTTGTAAACATACCGATGCTTCTGGCCACGACATATGCTGATGATAAAACCGGAAACATGCATTGCCAAATCGGATGTATCCGTCTGGGCATGTGCAGATAATATCTGAGACACAACATTTGTAATATTTAAAAGTTGATTAATCTATGTCAAGACAAGAGGTTTGGATTTGAAAAATGATTGATTGCCAACAAAACAAGATGAAAGAGTATAGCATTTAACTTTTACACGAGACTACAAGCGGATTAGGTGTATTGCACATCGCGTTAACTATATACTAAAGTCAATGAATCAAAGAATGTTTCCACAAAATGAAATCACATTATGTGTAACGATGTATTACAAATCTTGTATGATATGGGAACAGAGACATAAAGTCAATATACATGTATACACAATTAAATGACATGTCTGCTGCGATAACATTGAGACTATTCACAAAGACTAAACATCACAATACGTAAATCACCTAATGCATGTATTATTTATATGTTTACAATATAAACATAGTATTTTACCTTGTTTAGAACGAACTTCTACAAACGTGGAGACATTCCTGTTTCCGCGTGCACAGGTGTACACACCTGTGTCTTTTAATTCGGCAACTACAAACAAAATATGTCACATTACTATCACACAGATATTCTCAGAAATCGCTATGATAATCTTGATGTCCTTCAAACTGATTTTCAGAGTTATAATTCTTATTCAGTATTAACTAATGTTATAGATACGGACGTTACAACCTCAAAGGATAACGGGATGTGTGGCTGGATCCCTTTTTAGGACAATTTGTGTATCACAGGAAATTTTGATTACTGGTATATAAGAGTTGTGGTTGTGCCCTTTAGCAAGACATTAATCCGTTTGCTCTGTGACACATACATATAATGCAGACTGGACCTCCTACATGTGGAACAGTCAGGCTGCATCTCAATTCTACAATGACACACCGCTACAAATTGACCCTGCTATTCTAGGGGCGATCAACCTAGCAAATATACATTGATGATACTGTTCGAAATATCAGTCAACATGAGACAAAGGAAAAAAAAACAAAATATGAACAAATATAAAATGAAACATTCACATAGCGACCCCGGAAAAATGTAGAATTAACCAAGATCATCCGAACGGCAAGCGTCGTTTGCTCACCCACCATGTAAATTGTCAAGTTAGTAATGTACGGTTCCCAAATGAGAACAAGGTTACTACCAAACATCAGGTATACATTGTGAACTTCCGTCTAACGTCATATTGCAATGCTAGTTAGTAGTAGTAATATTTCAAACATACCTTTGACGACGAGGAAGAAATTAAAGTCAGTTTGGGCGGAGAACGAGACCTCATACTTAGCACTATCAATGCTGGGTTTTAGGTTGTTGTTTGCGGAAAGTATGACGACGCGAGCGCCTGGTACCACGTCGGCCGAACTTTGTTCAGTGTATATAAACTCCATTGGATCACTAAGTAATTGGGTGGCCAGACCCCCTGTGGTGCAATTGATGGTGAAATCAGTACTCTCCATCACCATTAGGTCCTTTGTAGACATTGTAATCTGGGTAGGATCACTCTGGGCAACTCCAATTGTCCCTGTTTAGATTAGTTTAGTACAGAAAATATAGCTAGCCTTCAATAAAACAGGAAATAATTATATTTGCAAGAAATAATGGTCTCTCATTGTTTTGTTATTCGTAGATAAATGACATGATATCTGATGATATAAATGACGCAAAACAGAATATATGTCCTCAATACATGTTACATTTGTTTCTCATTCTAATCCCGTGTTAAAAGGTATTAATCACTTGTCTTTTGTAAATTCGCTACAAAGACTTAGATTTGATAACAATGAACCGATTTAATTATGTTAGTATAATACTACCACAACTTTGATATTTGACATCGAGATCATAAACAATATACTGTTACGTTGTCCTTAACGTTTTCATAACCATCGTATGTAATATCATGATTGACGTTTGCTTTGAAAGTGATCAAAATTGAGTCAGAGAGATGAAGTTCCTCGAATAATGAATCTGAATATAGGGTGGTATTAAATTGATGAGTTTTAAAATGGCTGGCATCAATATCATGAAACTGATCAATATCACACAGTGAGTATATCGTATCTGCAATGAGTAAATGTATTTCCATTTTCATGATCAAGTAATATAGATATCTTACCTGTAAATCCGAACACCAGTAGAATGACAAGTTGCATCATTATTTGGCCGTCTAAATAGAGAAAAAATGATCATAAACGGATAATTCCATCAATATTCCCTTTAGACTTAATGAATCTCTCAACGTAAATGTCATAACGAAGTGTTACTAAAACATGTTTCCTACCTGTGTTCTGTTTCCACACCGCTTTCCTAATGTAATTTATCTTTGTATAACAGGTCTTCAGGTTTTACGCGTAAAGAGGAGCTGTACAACACCCGTTTTATCGCTTAACCACAGCAGGGGTTAGTTTAAAGGCACATATGAATTCAATCAACAGTTGCCACCCAGACCAGCTGAACAGGTGTTCGTATCTTTTTACCTTACTGTGGATAAACTCGTTACTAGGGGTTTCAAAAGATGCAGGTTGATGAAAATTATAGAGAAGTTTTACACTCGTCATAGTGATCGCGTTGAAAAATAATAAATGTCTTTGTTTGATATGAAGCTGGACGTGTTTGATACTCATTAGTTAGCCTATTGTTCCTGTGTTTATACCTTGTTCTCGTTTGAGAACGTGACATTACTTTCTTCTATTATCCAGGATTTACATGGCTGGTGACATCAATGAAGCAGAAGACGCTTACTACTCCAGAACACCTGGACCTATTATGCATGCACCTTTTGAGGAGTCTCCGTGTAAATATTTCTTTTGTTCATATTTTGCCCTGGATGTATTAAATTTGAGTTTGGTTTATGATTGTGTTGACATGTTGGTATTTTCTTGGTGTTTTGGTTTTGTTTTCACCTATTTAATATCTATATTTGACATTAGGATTTCCCTTGGTCGTCTATTTATTTTACGGTTTTGCATCTGCATCACTGACGAAGTCGAGCTATATAATATAGTTTATATATTCTACGATTTCCTTTTATAAATCTGAATTGAAATTTTTTTTCTCTTGTATTTTCAGAAAATCAGATTTCCATCTGCTCTCACAGTAGCATTTTTCGGATCACTCACAAATGATTGATTGAGATAATTTACATATTATTTTTTCATACCAGAAATTGAAGAATATCTTTTGATCGTTGTTCAATTGCAAGGATCTAAAAAATAGTTGCTTTACACTGCAATAGATCTGTAGTGACTATCTTAGTGTGTTTTTAAAACCGATCTGACTGTTATTTCAATGTTTCAACAAGCTTGTAACAATTCTGGTGATTTGTTCTTCTTTGTCGAATATACTTGATTTCATAATTTAGTCAATTTCATTATATAAATGTGCAATGGGATATTCTGCCAGGAACTGGCCGAAGGGTGAGATTACTGAAATGAAATCACTTAGAAAAAATGTACTTTGAAAACATGAATCAGTCTAATCGAATCATGTTTTCAGTTGATAGCATTGAAAACATGTAAATGTAAAGACAATGTCATGTAATGAAATGTAAAAAAAAAAAACACTAAAGGAACACCATAGATGCAATTGCATGAAATACAGTAGTATTATACAAATCATTTTACATAGGCTGCTCCACAACCTACTGGATGTGTTTCTTTAAACGTGAGAGTTGTAAGAAGATGTTCCGGTAACACGAGTTCAAGGCCGAATCCCTGCGGTGGTCTTGTACTATCGCTTGTTTCGTGTCCCGATAATATTCAATAAACATGCAGAGCTAGGGAGAATCTTGTAGTTCGTCCAACTGGTTTTTTGGCTTCAAAAGCAGCTCAAGTTACCAAGGAAATGCTCCCCAATCGATTATTTAAGTGCAGGAACCCGGATAATCGGTTTTACGTCCCGACTAAAAAAAACAATATTTATATAGAGCCAGTGCCTGTTGACTGCCAAGCGTTCTTCCTGATAACTTTTGTATGTTTACAGCATGTGAAATTTAACTCACACATAGAAATTTCTGGTTCAGTCATTATGTTATACCGGTACGGAGTAAGAATATTCATAATGCTGAAATTTGACAAATAAGCACGCAGAAATGTATTCATTGTTTGTTTTACGAAGTTACAACCCAGTTCAATTGTTATATATATGTATTAGATACATGGAAACCTAACAAACCAATGTAACATTCAGAATGAACTAAATTGTCCATGAAATATGCAGATTGTCTCACCTAAGATCTACCGACCTTTTACTATAATAATAACAAGAATTTATTCAAAGATTATTAATTCTTGACAAAATTTTTATTGAGGACTTTTGCTCTCAAAACGTGTATCATAATCGTATATTAATTGTATTATATGAAAGACAAATGCTCATCAGCTTCAAAATGAGGCATTCTCTAAGGAATGGTTGGGAGGTTTATCTTTAAAGATGATGTAATGTTGTCAAAGCTAAAAAGTGATGTCATTGTTCTTATTTTCTTTGCATAGACAAATGCAGTTTATAGATACAGAATCAATATCGGATTTCAGCTTTTGTAAAAGTTTTAAAAGTTTGCATTATAGGGACTTGATATCTAAAGTTCTTTCAATGTTATTGTACTTTTCGACAGAACTTAGATACCTAAACAAAAACGCCTTCTACCAGTCTAACCCTTGTTCAGAGAAGCTGTTTCGATAACGAGTCATCTTGCAGAACTCTACGTACGTACAGACTTGTATATATATAAAACCTACATTGGATACAACCCGAACTCAACTCATTTTGGTAAACTTGAAGTTTTTTCAAAAGCTTCTATGTCATTAGCAGAACTAATTTCCTAGCAAAAAATTGATGGCTCATTGGGTAGTGTATTATTTGATAAAACGTCTGTGGTAGTTTATGTAAGTTAACCGCAAATGTTATTAAAGGGAGATAAATATGATTTGAATGATGCCGAATTCACTGAAGACAATCAAAGATATAGGATCAGAGTGTAATATCAAGTTCACATGCATATACATATATGGAGAAAGTAAACTTTTTCTCATTTCTACCCGTGTAATACTGGTCTGTCCAGGGTAATACAACCAGGTTCGCTGTTCTTGTATCACACACATATACTCTGTATACTGCTTTATTTTTAGGGCAAATGTGGTTGGTCTTATTTAGGTACGGAGATTTTTTTCTATGCCAATTTGTCGATTAATTACATATTAAGAAGTATCATTTTTGTGTAATATGGCGTCCTTTGTAGTGCATTGTCGACATCGGAAGCCATTTCAATCTAATAATTTAGATTGGGAAATGAAAGGAAACCCTCTTTCATATACCGGGGTGAAGGATGGGATGCTTTATCTTCTGGGCCACAAATTATTAAAAAAAATCAAGCCCTAGATTTGGGTTTAACGACATTTTGTGACCTCTCGGGGGGAATATCCATACACCCCGACATATGAAATAATCTTCTAGTATATACTATTATTAAAATATGAAATCGTCATCATTGCCAAGAACAAAATCATCGATATTATGAAATAGCGAAAAACAAAAGAACAGTGTAGACAGTGTTTTTGTTTTGTTTTGTTTTGTTTTGTTTTGTTTTTTTTTTTTTTTTGTTAATGGTCTACTCCATGTATATTGATAGGTAGTGATTTAATTTCTAATCGAATATGATCAATATACAGTATATATAAATAGCTACATGTCACTAACTTTCCGAATATATTTCATTTAACGTCTTTCTGGGTAACGTAATGTATATATATATCTTAGTATAAAGTTATTATTAAACAGTATCATATTAGATATACAGCTCCCAATGACTTCATAAACTGTAGACTGTAACCTGATATTTGCACTACGTAATACCTCGCCTATGATTAAGACCAAAGATTTGTCATATTTATTTTGTACAGGAACAAAACAACAACGTTGTTACACGGTCTAATGAACACCAATGTTATCGTATGTCTTGTCATGACCAATTTGGCCCAATTCTTAACTTTGTTGTGTTATTTAAAGGGCCTGACATAACTGGCCATTGATTGTATTGTACACATGGGTATATAGGCTTTTTTCTCTGACTGATAACTACACAAGGAATATATATATTAGGTAATAGTTTGGCTGTGAGTAAACACAAGGATTAAAGCAAGCCATCAGTGGATTTCAAAAGGCAAGTTATTATTTAACGGCTTTGTTTTTACTGTTTATATTTCTATATGTAATGCATTGTATTAATATCTAAATATCAACTTTGGTAAGAGAGTCAAGGTGGAAGTACAGCTACACTGGCGTTGGAAATTGTTTCCTGTAAAAATATTGATGATAACAAATTTTTACGTCGCTTCTACCTTAGACTTTTCATCTTTTCAGAGGATTTCTCTTCAAAAAATCTATACCAGGTATAATTGGGGATTATTTTTTTTTTATTTTAAATTTTAATAACACTTTAAACTCTAAAGGGACTGATCTCTTCCTCAGTTCTATTTCACCTCTCTAATTATGAAACGTTGACAAAACCTTAGTAGTAAAGTGAGCGTCGGCACATCTGAAATGAGCCGGATTTTCAATTTGATTATTTTGTATCAAATTGATGATTACTTCATCCCTAAATTATTATTAAATATTAATATCAATAATCGGCACAACAATTTACACAACAAAGTTTTTAAAAAACCGCGTATTATGTCATGACTTGAATGGGACTACAATGTATTTCTATCGATGACGTGTTGTGTGGACTCCTTTGTTTAGTTGTAACTATGATCTTCTGTTTGTTCAGACAAAACGAATCGAAAATAAAACTTCCCAGTGCTATAATTACAATACCGACGCATTAACTATTTACATTTTCTTGTCATCATTGACTCGAGGTCTTCCTGGTCAGTATGTTGTGATGATGGATAATGATTTGTATAGAAACATCTGAGTAGAAATCATCGCATTTCTTAAAACTTAGAAGGAGGTGTAAGAGGTTGCAGAGTATAGATATATCATCTTATTTATTTCTGTGGGGTTTTTTTCGGGATCACGTCAGAGGCGGAAAAGATTTCTTCGAGGAGAAACAGATAAAAAGTGTCCTTTAAGTAAGCATCCTTGGACTTAAGCTAATCATTCCTTCTTAAATTCGCTGTCCAGACATTTACTATATTTTACCTACCAGTAAATTCCCAATTGGAAACGAATTTAAATGTACAGATTATATTAGAAGCATTCGGTTTAAATATAATAGAGCACGAAACAATTTTCTCATATTTGTGAGTTACTTCCAGGGATATTTGTCTGTATAACTACACGATTTGTCGAAATGGAAAACTTGTATCAGAAAAATTAGAATAATGATATCTAACTTTTATATAAGTATGTTTAATTTTCCTTGAGATTTATAAAAAAAAAAACAATTATTTTTCCTGATCAGGTTAATGTAATTGCCTATCTTTTGATATTAGGAATCACTAGCCATTACCATGGAGCCTACGGATAACACGTATGTACAGAAGCTAAAGGAGAGATTTTTGGAATGTCCTGTGTGCCTTGAAGAATTTTCGCAGGAAAGTCGACTCCCACGGGTCTTGCCATGTCTACATACACATTGTGATTCCTGTTTAAAAAACATCGTCAAAGACGATTCTGTAAAGTGTTCATTGTGTCAGAAAAGTTATCATGTCCCCGATGAGAACCTTACCGTATTTCCCACTGATTATACTAGAAAGGATCTTCAGGATTTTGTTCGTGCGTCGCTTCATAGACCCGATTTGGTTTGCGAAGGCTGTGCTTCCAACGACATAGCTAAATTCAGATGCACAACATGTGATCATTTCTTGTGTGACTCGTGTAAGGAAGCACACAGACGTCTTGTTGTCTTCAAAACGCATTATGTATTCTCTCTGGACGAGGAACAGAGTTCAGAGGAAAATATCAGTAAATTTTCGCACCAGGCATTTTGTGAAACCCAGGGACATGAACGCGAGGCAATGCACTACTACTGTACAACCTGTGATAAATCTATATGTACCCGTTGTTTCCTCATACACCATAAGAGACACGCTGTAGAAGATATCCAGGAAGTGTATGGTAGAAAGAAAGCTTCTCTTCAAAATGACGCGCAAATGCTACATAGTCGTATTTCAGAATGTAACATGATTAGGAAGAAGGTACAGGAGGCAAAAGAAGAGGTTGAGCGTAATAGGACAAAATCTGTGGACGAGTTGAATACGACATTCGAAACCATGATACAGATTCTGAAAAGACGTCGGGATGACCTACTGAACAAGATACAAACAGTAGCATCGAGGAAAAATGAAGTGCTTGATCACCAGGAAAACAATCTTGACATAATTGTAAAGTCAGTCGAAAATTGCTGCGAATTTCTCCATCAAAGTCTTACCTACAATAATCAGCCAGCCTTCCTGAAGATAGCCCCAATTATTTCCAGCCGATTTGCGTACCTCCAGTCACTCACTCTAGATGAAGAACCATACGAATCATCGTATCTCTCCTTCAATGGTCTAAATATCGAGCTAACTTTTGAAACATTTATCCAGACCATAGGGAACATTGAGTCATCGGCCTTTTATCGACCGAAAACACGTGTTTACGCAGAACCAGGTACTAATGGCAGTCCAAGTAAGATTGTCATAGAGTTCCAGAACTTCGAAGGGAAACTTCTGGAAGAAAATTTGGAGATAGAAGTCACTGTTTCGAAAGAGGGCGAAATACATTCAAAAGCCAGACTTGCACTAGGCGATAGAGGCAGATATGAAATGATACTTCCGGCTGTTGGCTCTTATGAGTTGAATCTAAAGGCCTTTGATGAGAAGATGCCGGTTTGGGAAGGGGCAGCCCCCAAATCAAACGGTAAGGAAAATACTTCTCTGTAGGTTCATTCTGCAAAGTAGGTTAGTTTGATTAGTCCCGTTATTAGGTACGTGGAAATAACTCATACATGAATGAGATAAACATTCATTTGCTTACTTTTCATCAAGCCGTGAAATTACAAAAATACCTTGCTTGCATCTATGACATCCATATAAATGTATTGTTCAGTCTGTTATTTTCGCTGGAGGATATCTTCCATATCGTTTTCAGCCGATTCATCCACTTCAAATATCCTGCAGTAGTTTATAAATAACAATTATTAGCAACATATCAAATGGTACTTTATCTAGACTCGTTGTAAAATGGTATCATGAAATACTTGTGAGCTTAAATCGTTATCAAATCGCATTGAACTACATCAGTGCATTATACTGCTAAATATAACATTATGGAATCCCTGCAAAAAAAAAAGATAATATTTACATGAGCAAAACCTTACAGAGTAGTTTTAGCCAAATTTACACCAGTAATTAATAACTATTTTTTTCCAGTAATGAATGAATCTGTTCATGAATGGAAAGGTGGTATATTTAAGTGACATGTGGATAGTTAAGTGATTATTAAAAATGCTACAGAGTGCAGCAGCCTTCTTGAGAGACAGGCATTACGCATGTAAATGTATTGAGAGCAATAGTCGAGAGAACGAAATGTCCCTTTGTATTGATTAAAATTGAACTCGTTCTACAAAAAAATCTGGAACTTTTTGAAAAGCGGAGAAAACCGATATATACCATATCTTTAACGTTCTAACTCTAGTTACTATCAATCCCTTTAGGTAATGCAATTGATTGGAGTGAAATCAATAACATTTACACACGAAAATATCTTTCGTTGTATGATAGCCTCTATCCTTTTTAAGTGTTCTTTTTTGCAGGAGGCCCGACAAAAAATCATCGCACTGGACCTCCTACCGCCAGCAGGAGACACAGACGACCGTCAGGTTGTTAATAATTAATTCTCCAATATGAAATATAAAGAATTTTAATATGACCTTATTTAGATTTTCACGGCGCTGATGTGTAATTATCATAAAAAATGTGGTCCAAAGTGTTTTGATAATCATGAGATGAGAGAAAAGAAAATCTATCATAATAAACTGTCGTGCTGAAGATTTCGTGTTTATAACAGAGCCAGTTTCTTCATTCTATTTTCTAGTAGTCTTGTTTGATCAAGTTGTCTTTGTTTGTGTTTTTAAAACGACAAAGATCTTTTTTCAGATACATCAAGTGTGGAGCATGTGTCCATGTCACACAGGTCAAACATAAACACTAGTAAGCGTTGTGTTCTGTTTCAGTTTATTTTACTGTCATAGACAGGGCTTGTCTTTCTTGATACTCGCTGTGCATGTCATCAGGTATTTTGTTTCGATAGTTTTTTTTTATATCATATTTAGACAGACAGACAGACAGACAGACAGAAACATTCTCTAAAATAAGTCAGAAATGCTTCTACTTAGCTACAGGAATGGAGCTGTCTATGATATTGAGTTACCTCCCTTCCATTGATCGTTCAGAAACGTTGTCATATGCATTAGGTAGTAATCAAGGCAGTGTTTATCATGTAAGTATGATAACGGGACAGGGTTGTCAAAGCAATGACACGATATATCAGATGTATTTCAATGGTATTAATTACCACACGTTTAAAAGATGTGACCAGACGATATATTAACACACAAATGAACATGTCAGTGATTGAACAATATTTAAGCAGGTGTGTTCCAACACATGTTACCATACTGTAAATTGAAAATACATCCATGCTATGACGTAGGTATGCTCTATCATATTTTAATATATTGTAAATAAAGGGGAACATTTATGCTATGAAGCAGGCATAACACATAATAATATGCTGTAAATAAAGAGGCACGTTTATGCCATGATGTAACTTAAAATGTGATTGAACATGTATTTAATCTCTCGTGCTTACAGATTCATGATTTCACACATATTTATCATCATGCTTTACGGGTTTGTTGTTTGACAGACAATACTATATACTGTCTTTATCGGATAAGAGTTGTGTATAAAGTGTCTATGTCAACATATTTGGGGAACCGGCCACATCTTTGTAATGTGTATTTTGTCTACTTTAAAAAAAAACTAATAAAATATTATATATCATAAGGTTTGTGCTGATATGTAGAATTGAGATTTGTGACTTTGACAAAAGGTGTTAATTTCAGATGAGATACCAAACAGTTATTCTGATCTAAAATCCTTAATTCCAAGGCAATATGGAGACACTACCAAGATTGTACCAATGTACCGATAACGTATCAGAGACTGAAATGAAAATAACAAGCATAAAAATATACGATATAGTTTAACAGTAATTTATGTGGCGTATTTGCAACACTTGTATGTATGAGTAAGTAAACTTAATATCAATATACACATTCTTATAGTGATGACAAATTAAGGCTGTCTGTAACAGTTATATGACTTATTGCAAGCATTTAAGATGACGCTGTCTAAAACAGCATTTCAAAACATCTTTGGACAGGATATATGGTTCGTTCTCTTTTCTGCAGTACACTAAAACGAGCAATGCTTGCATGACTCGATCATATATAGAAATGTTGCACATTTAAAGCATTCGGTGATTTTCTTAAGAATTTGACATTTTTCAGCATTCTGATCTTCTCACCAAGTAAAAGTATACCTTTACGGAACTGACATTATAGTTAACAGGAAGTAATATAGTGTGGAACAAACACGTTTGAATTTTGGTACAAACGTTTTTGCAGTTGTCGCAATTATGATGAAAATATCATCAAGTTGTGTCGTGTGATAAATACCTGTTATGATATTGTATATTGAAAACATAATTGCAAATGTACAATACATAATAAATCTAACGTTATTTTTATTCATCTTTTCATGATAGAGTGTTGATCAGTTATTTAAATGATGACAAATTCGTTGCGAGTTATTCTTTATTTTGTCTTTGTTGTAGATGATTTTGACCCCGACAGTGCCAGAGGCCCCGAACGGCCACCTCTACCGAAGGACGAACTTTTACATCCAGGTAAACATATTAAGCAATAGGAGCATGTCGGTGATAATTTGGGATAGATATCTATAAAAAGAGTAGTCCATGTCGAAACTATTTCATGCTTTTTTGGGTAGATCCTAGAAGGTAAAAATAAATATTAAACGGATTAATCTGTAAAATGATAGAAATGAAAAGGACATCTGTTCCGAATTTAAGTATTCGAAAATGATTGATGGTTATACCACTCTGAGACAGTAGGATAAAGACAGGTAAATAAATTTGAGATTAATTTGAAGACGTTTGTGATATGTCCTTTCGATTATGTATATGTAAACTGCAAACGGTATCCATACAAAGAGAACTAAGAATCCTGATTTATAGAAGATGAATAGACATCCATCGTAACGTAGTATCTCAAGTGACACCATCTATATGCAAAATCACTATCTTATATAGAACATATCCTGCAGAAAATTCTACGTCGGCATATATTTACAAACAAATGTTCCACTTCGAATATTACATAACAAACACGTCTGCTGACTAAAATTGTTAAATGACTTACGACGGTTTTTTTATAATTATTATGCCATAAGTATATTTGTTGTTGAAACCAGGTAATATAAAGTGATTATGACACCAAGACACCATGGAAGTGTCTATTGTTCACAAAGGCGCGTTAACGTGGCGTAGTATTATTCTGAAGAAGGATATGACGGAGACATGCCTGAATGGTCCGAGACAAAATTAACCTAACATGTTACCTCGCATCCTTTCACATATTTAGTAATTAAATCTACTATAAATCATATCTATTTCATTTTTCAGACCATGGAAACAAAGGAGTACAAAGTATGCCGACTGTAAACCATTCAGATGATCTCGCTTCCGGTTTATCCAGACCGGAACGTTCGATAACTCGTAGGTCAAGAGTGACAGAGATATATACCAGATAACATGCATACCATGCTCTATCTTACTGAATCAGTGGTTGACATCAGTATGTTACTTTTTTACCTAGTGAATATATGCGACTTCCTTCCAGGTTGCGCGGCCTATCTTGTTTCTGATATCTGTAGTTTCAACTTACACTGTATTTTGTCCATCTGCCATACCAGATTCAAGATTTATTCAAAACGGTAAACCAGTTTGCCCATTAAGAACAATCGGTCCATCAGTAACATCCTATATACAGATCGTGATACATCGTGCGCACATCTTATGCACACAGTCACGATACAGTATAATGCACACATCATTACCGGTTGATCGCCCGTGTAACAAACACAGAACTTAAGATTTACTTGAGCATATTTTTTGTTTGCAAAATAAGTGAGAGATGAGAGTAATACAGAAGTAATGAAAATAAAATTTCCTTTCTGAGGGTATTAGAATTTGGATAATTCATGGCTGTGACATTCATTGCTGTGACATAAAGTGACGTCAATTTAATGTTAACATATATATTGTATATATAATGTGTGTCCGTACACTAAGGCTGGTCACGTGTGACTCTTTGTAAACACAACACGGATGTATCTAAATATTCAGTGTATATCTGATATATCTGCAAGTTTCCAACCTGTATATTAAAGGCTGAAATAGGAAATATACTTAATTATATTCTTATATATTTAGAAAATAAATGAATCCTATCCCACACTTAATTTATAAATAGTTCGTCCAATTTCCTATCGTGCGCACGTCACGTGTCGTGTAACGTTGTGCGATCCCTACGACTGTACGTAAAATGTCCTATTCGTACCGGCTAGGTCTCCCGTGTAACAATCTTAAATCTAAAAATGTACCTTGATATATAGTTTTGTTTATGAATTAATAGCCAAAGGAGAATAATAAAGAACTAATGTAAATAAAGTTTTTCCTTTCTGAAGGTGTGATATTTTAGATGACTCATTGTCGCGACAACAAAAAGCGTCCATTTAATGGTTGCATAATATATAAACAGTGTGTATCGGTACACAAGAGCTGGTCATGTATATCATTTGTAAACTAAACACTATTAACCACCAGTGTATATAACTGTCCAGTCTGTTTCTGATAAATCTACATGTGTACAGCCTCTTTATAAATGGCATAATTAGAAAATATAATTGGCTGTTCTCGTATATACTTCAAAAATGTATAAAACCTATCCCACATTTATCTATAAATAATTTACCACATAATCTCACATATGTGCGATAATACCACATAACATGCGCATAGATGTGCAATAGCTTATTTTGTCCAGCACTCGTCGTGCATACATCGTGCGCTAATCAAACATCGTGTAATGTTGATGGTTATAATGCACTGACACTTATTATGATTTTGTTTTAAAGGGGCAACGTTTCATTTGGATGAAACAACAATGCACAAGTCTCAGTTCCTTTCAAAGAACAGAAAGAACCTCTTCAATAGGAAGCAGACACGACTACTACAGGAGGGTGACGAGGAGAGAAAACCAATCCACACTTCGGTGAGAAGCAGAAGGGAACAAAAAGTCCAACGTCACCAAGGAGTAAAATCCTCCACACCGATTACCTTGCCAGATGATGTCTATTTCGAGGTCGACATCAGCTATCAGTTTGACCAGAATCTGGTTCAAGATGTCACGATCTTTGAAATTGGCTTTGCAAATGACAGTGCTGTCGATACTTCTGACACTATTGGCAATGATAAACACTCTTGTTCTATTGCTGCCCACGCCAGTTCTAATGATGGTACAATTCGATTCGGGTTCAAGGATAACGGAAAGCTGGTATCCTCTCAGGCCACACAGGCTAACACTTCTAGTAAATGCCATGTGATGAGTCTAGGGCTAAACGTGGACACTCAAAGTCAATCTGTCATTGTGCTAGACAAGTCACGAAACGAAGTCAATATGTTTAAATTCACAAACCAAGATTACAGGACAGGAATTTGGCCAGTGTTTGGGGTTTTTAATTCACAGAAGGTGGACGTTGTTTTAACTCTGAAATCTGGTGATGACATCACATACATACCATTCCATCTACTCAGGTAACTACTTCTACAGTTTTCAACTGCAACACTCTGGGAGAGCAATGACGATCAATATCAATATTATTGATGTTATTTTCTCAGTAACGTGATACAATCGAGACTGTTATCACTCACTGATGAAACAAAACTGTGGAATATCTGGTGAAAACACCTTACATGCAGAATTTCTTATTTCATCATATCTCACCAATATTTAGCTTGCATATGCTCCTAAAGACCATGTGTCGCTTGATGTATACTGTCAACTCTTTCATTTTGCGGTAATATTATTTTATTCTTTTGAGCATTACAAAACGTATGTATTTTACAGTAGTCAAAATATGTATTTTGATGATACAAGGACGAGAATCCATACGTAATTATTCATCTTTCAATTTGTTTTTTCGGTTGATCTCTGCTACAGAAGTTAATTTATACGTGACAATATATTTCTCTTGTAAGGTATTTTATATTGATGACAATTCGAAAGGACAAACAGTATAATTGATGCACATTTATCCTGCATAAATCGATACTACATGAGCACAGATATCAGATAGGACAAGATTTGTCCTTAAATCTCTTGTATATAATAATAATAATAAGTTTCTTAGTCATATGACATAGTTATTTTCCAATACGGTGATTCAATACTTTTAATTTTCGTAAATATGATTAAATTGTATTACAAATCAGTTCTTATAACACAAAGCATTTCCTATTTTTGTAATTAAACACCAGGTAGAGTCAGCACTCCTTAGAAAGAAGGTGTTTTATATGGACACCACGGTTCATGTAAAGAATCGTTAATATAGTTCTGTAATGGTGCCTGACGATAATTTGTGTAATGATTGAAGATGGTTTCATTTTAAAAGCTTGAGGTGAGACAAATTTAAATGGTAAGTGTTTATGTTTGAGTTTTGTGCACACCTAAGTGTCAATTTATTGTCGTTATCGCTTTTACAGTCTTGTGGTAGTCATATTAATAAAATCAATTTTATTCGTTTATTTGTATTTTTTATATTCTTTCTCTGCTTCAAAGGATTGTTGAAATAAAGCACAAGAAAAAAACACTTTTTATGCTCTTTTGATATTCATATGGATTCAGCTACCTTGATAATAAATCAAACTGCATCATACAGCTGTTCATAACCTTCTACGGATCGACGACATTCCATATTGTTCAAAGGACTCACAAATGAAAAGCACTTTATAATAACATTGATTAATTAGATACGGTAGAGTCAGATATTGATTTTCGGTTTCATCATTCAGTTGTTTCTTTCCTCTAGGAATCTGCAGTTTGTTATGGAACAGACTATCCTACTGTAATGTGCAAGATATGAAACGGTCTATACTACTTTTACTGTACGACTTTATAGGAAATTGAAACAAATCATTGCATTTTTGGTTGAATATAGAGAAAGTGTAAAATAGACTATAGATGTTTTCACGCGAAATAGTACATGCATGATATTCTGCAGGCAGTTTCAAGGTGAACGTGTTGGGGGTAACATGGCCAGCTCGGGGTAAGGCCTACTCATTAGGGATGGTTCGAGTTATGTCTTCATTCTCGGCCCACATCAGCTGTCAAACTCATCGCTATACCATCACTGATAGAGTGAAACATAGGGCAGTGACTATGGGATATCAGAATGGGTGTCTTGAACCACACACAGGGAGTTTTCTAAGCTAGACTCGATGTCGCCAGTCGTCGTCATATTTTGTCGTCTAACTGTACAGTCGGGCTAGAGAGCTGTTTGACGGTAGAATTTGGCTCTATGATGTGGAGTAAAGTAACTCCTGTATTCATCATCACTGATTTTTAAAGCGGCTATTACCTTAGATTTCAACATCAGGAAATGGAGAAATCGGCTTATGAACAATAAAATATATCCATATTAAAGCGATACACGCGCCTATAACTTAAAATTTGTTGTTTTTGTACATATTTCCGGTGTCGGAATATTGTTTATCTTGACTATTGTTTATAAACATGTTCATGTTCGGTTTATTACGACGACAGCCGCGTGGGTCACATGGCTTGTCACGTGACGAAGTCACTTACATCCGCCTCAAAGAAAAAATGGATTACAAGGTAAACAAACACGTCTTATGTATGACACCTCCTTTTGCACCTTTCTGCTAATTCTTGTTTGCAGTAAATGATTCTAGAGTGTTATAATATATAATTTTAACAATCAATCTTAGTCATTCGTTTTGTTTTGACTTTGTCGTGTGACAATTATCTATGTCAATCGCGGGCGCTAAACTAGTGGGGCCCCAAAGGGGGTAAATAAAATCGGAAAAGCAAAAAAAAAAACAAACAAACAAACTCATTGTGCAGAAATGCACAGGAATTGGTACTTTGTCTGTACACATTAATAAATATTGCACTATTCACGCGTAAAACACTGGATATTGGATTATAATCAATGACAGGCGGATACGTTTTAATTATAGGGCTAACGTGAAGCTAACCAGTCAAGCAGCAGCTTCGCAAATTCCGAATCCGTATTCAGTCCAAGATCCTCTTTTATCTTTCGATATCTATCGATCTCCTGTCTGATATAAATTCTTGCCTGTCCTCTTTTCTGATCTGACTTCTTCCTCTTACGCTTTCTGGCACTTTCTGTTAGGTAACTTTTAGGTCCGCGACGCCTTTTCGTATTTGCGTCCGCCATATTGATTCTTTCCAGGCTTATACATATGCACAGCATCAGGGTTACAGGCGGTAATGTATGGATAAGATGAGGACCGCAAAGTTTACATTCTTTATTTTTCAAACATCAATGGTTGCAGTGACTTTTGATTTTATCAATTAACAGAAAGTCTTAATTTTGTAACATACTATTGGAAATTAGAACGTTTTGTGTCTTTTTCTCGTAGTGCTTTTTTAACATTATAGTCGCTTTAAAGTAACTTTGTGTACTTGGAACTGTATTAACGTAATTGTTGATTGATAATTCACACTGCACAACATGAGTTTGTAAGCGTGATATACCATATATGTGCGTATGAGTTTAGTATAGGACATTGCAGTATTGTACAGCATTATAGGTTTACAAGTATCATTCAACAAATGTACATTTCAATCTTGTTTTTTTTATTAAAGCCATAAGTAGACTCGGCGTCAGTTATCGTCTAAACAACGGTTACGGAACAGTAAGTATTTCGGAAGGTAAATTTTGTCACAGCGTATCACATGCGCTATTGACATGCACTACTCGCACCCGAATAATGTTCGGTTATGTAACCTGTCTTATTTGAAGAAAGAATACCACAATTGTGATTAAAACCATTCACCATTAAATATCTTAACAAATATTTGGTTGGCTAAGATGTGGTTTTCAAAAGACCTAAGCAGCAAATGTAACTGCTTGTATGTGCTATTTGTAGTCTCCGTAATCGTACGTTTACAAACAGGCATTTAAGTCCAAATATATACATATTCACACGCAAGAATACGGTGCCCTTTTTGCGCCAAAAATGAAAAATTAGAAATGTATGGTTGGGAGATGCTACAATATAATTTCCTCATTTGTTGAGAACACTTAACCTGAACATAATAATAACATGTTAGATATCATATATGCAAAGCAAGAACTCAATTTTTTAATACATTGGGAACAATAGATGAAAAAAGGATGGATTTTTAGAAAGAACATGATATTTTTACATTAAGCGAAATTTTCTGAAGGTCAAAAATACAACCACTTGTTGGAGTTCCTTCATAGTTATGTGCTAAACAACCTTCAAACAGTATAAAGTAATATACTCAAAAATAGCAAAGTAGTAAAAATTGAATGACAATATTACTATGTATTTTTAATGAAAAACTAGCAAAAGCAATGTTGTGCTCCAGACATTTTTCTCTTGTAAGATATCCACGTCCAAAGTAGCAATGGTTATATCTAATAATGTTACTATTGAATGAAATGTTTTCGATAAACTGGAAGTTGATATGTTTAAAAATAGTTGAAAACTGTTTCCATGATAAGACCGTCTTCATTTTTACCCAGAATAACAGTAGTGCATCCACGGGGTTTGCAGTGTAATTACAAGTGCCAAAAGAGGATGAACATAAGTAAAAACAGGTTTTTGAAACTGTGGTCTTGTCCAAACAGTCCAGGCTTTACAATCGGCATCCAGAGAGAAGAAACACAGAGTAAAAGTTGACTACAGCTTTGATAGCATTTGTGGTATCTTCAAAAGATCATTGATGGTTTCTTTTGATCTGAAAAGTAACTGGGAAGTCAACATTTCTTTTTCATCATTGTGTATTTTAACGTTAGGGTTATGTGAAGATCTTCCCTGTGTGATGATGTAAACAACTACGTAATGATCAAAGCCACCACAGCTTGTGCTAAAATATGAGTTAGTGTTTTGTTGGCTCGGGCAAGATGACAGATTAAATCTCTTCATAGATAATGTGCATTTTGCGTGAAAAGACTGGCCATAAAATAGATCCTATTTGGATAACAGTGTAATCTTTCGCCACGTATGATCACTTACACCAACGATTATTGTGACTTCCTGTTCCGATATTTCTTAAAACACTTATCACAAACACACCTATCTTGATCATCAGAAACGTTATTGTCATTTGCTTTTAAAGTATCAAACAACCAATTGTGCTGGGGACATCTTATGTTTCTCGTAGGTTTCCTGGTTGGAATATATCTACTAATATACTGAAAACAGCTTTACAACCTTCACCTACACCTCAACCTTTCATTATGAGAATGATACTGAATTTGGTTTTTAACGTCGCTGTCTGAGTAAAAAAAGTAAAACGTAATGCCAAGAACAATTGATGATATTGGGTATATGGGAAATATATTATATTGTTGGAAGATCTATGGAGGAAATATCGACCATACAATATGTTGTATTTAATGCTAATTATAATTGACAGTTAAAGTATATGATTGGAGTGCAACAGGGTGGTCGCCCATGTCCACTATCGTTCAACAAGTCATTTGGGTGATAGACTTCTAAACTAAAAATCAACACTACAAAAAAGGTGAATTTCAATCTCTGGACAGGGTTAAGGGTAAGAGATAAAGTTATTGTTATGCTAGATAGTTTTGAATGGACTGAATATGGAAGACATTCAAAAAGTCATTTGTTTAAAACAAGTATGTTTTATCTGTTTTGTGACCAACGTCGTACATAGTTTAGTAATGCTGTGACGTAATTAGTTAATTAGGCAAGTGCGTTATCGATTAATTAGGATTAAATGTAAAGCCAAAGGTATCAACTTTAATTACACAAAGTAATTGATCGGTGAATATCTCGAGGGCTGAAAAAATCTTTAGGTCTACTCTCCAAATATAATGACATATCCTGAACAATCCATCCTCGGCTACCAGGGTTTTGTTGTCTCTGTCAAGTGAATGAAAATCGATAAAGAATAATAGCCCACATCTTGCAAATGTTTGACTACAAAGGCTA